TGATGGTGATGGTGGCACTTTGAGATTGGTTCTTACTGAATTTGCACTTGTCAATAAGAGTGAAAGGTATTGGGAGGAAAAGGTAAATATCCTACACGTAGTTTTTGGGATAAAGATAAGTGACCGCCCCGAGGGCAGTCAGTGTGCTCATGTCTGGCTTGCTGTGCGGACCTCTGTCGGGCCAGGAGAAAATATTGTAGATAAGAATTAATAAACAACACTGAAGAACTGAAAAACCTGAAGACTCCTTTTGTCCTTTGGAGCGTGGGCTGCCCAAGGCCATCCAGAGCCTTACCAGGCCATTAGAACAGCCGAGACGGGACAGGCAGTGGGGTGAGGAGAGCAGCTCTGTCCTGAGGGATTCCAGGAGGGTGGAGACTGATGGGCTGTGCTGTGCAGCAGTGACAGACACGCTGCACTGCCTGAGATTTGTCTGGAGCTGTAAACACATCTGCTCTGGCCTTGCCCAGCCCTCCTCCCGCTCCCAGCCTGTGGATGCTCATGTCAGGGAGTTCTCAGGAAGCTGTCTCCTTGGGATGGGCAGGCTGATGGCTGTTTGCTCAGCTTCAGAGCAAGGAGAATTTCTCTGAGTGTGCCTTGGGATGCTCAGGAGGCTGTTCCCACTCAGGAGTGCAAACCATGCCCCTGAATCATCAGACTGTTAAATACAAGAAGTGCAGCTCAAATTGCAAGACAATAAACGAGAAGATTCTTGTAGAATAATTTTGAAACTGAGAATGATCACAACCTGTTCCTGGCTGCTCACTGAACAGAGAAGGAAGTTCCTTGTGTGAGCTGTTTGTTCATACATCCAGTTCAGCCCCAAGAGTGACAGTGAAACTCTGTGTTCTTCACTTCCCTTCCTGGATTCTGCTGGAAGAGGACACAAGTGTCAGGTGATTCCATCACACCCACTAAGATGACATTTTAGCTTCTTTCCATTAAAGCCATCCAGCCACAGCAACTGTGAAGGGAAAAAAACCAACTCTACCAAACCTTTGCTACCCTCAGAGCCCCTCAGTGATTTTCCATCTCTGCAAGTGATGCTTTAACTAATGCCATCTCCTGCCTGGGAGCAGGGTGGGGGCTGTCCCAGAGCCCCAGCACAGCGTGGGGAGCAGGTCATTAATCCAAGGCAGAGCAACACAACCAGGGAGGCTAAAAATACCCAGGACACCTGATTGCTCCACCTGATTGTAGGGAATTGAGGGGAGGAGAGGGATGGGCCCTGCATGCTGAGTGCTCAGGCTGCTGCAATCACAGCCCCTGCCTGCTGGAAAACCTCTGGGATTGGTGTTACTGCAGCAGGATCAGCTCAGAGGCAGCCCCTGTGGGACTCCTTCAGCAGCACAAGGGATGAGCTGATTGTGTTTGGTCCAGGAGACCCCTGGATATCCCATGGCATGGAAATCCAACCCCAGAACCACTGCACTGCCCCAGAGTGGTGGCACTAACATCATCACTGCCCAGGGATGTCAGTAGGAAAAGGTGGAACAAACAGCACAGATCATTTTCCATGAGCTACTTTCAAAACCTTCAGTTGCATCATTTTAGGTCTGTCAGCACAGGCTGTAATTATAATCCCAGAATCCCAGACTGGTTTGGGCTGGGAGAGACCTCAAAGCTCATCCAGCCCCTCCTTGGCAGGGACACCTTCCCTATTCCAGTTTACACAGGAGTGTGCAACTCCTCACAAGGACCCTGACACCAGCTCAGGACAGCAAAACTCACTTAAAATTCCCCTGGGGATAAGGAGAGTCCCAAGGGCTGAAGTCCACAGGAGCCCCTGCCCAGCTCTGCTTTGTTCCTCCCAGCAGCCTCACATTCCCTGGATTAAGCTCCTTGTGTGTTTCTCCTCTCTGGGAAGATACTTCACAATCTATTTGTGACAGTCAAAATTCTAAAATACAGGCAGGATCTCTTCTCCCTGAGGCTCTTTTTGAGAGAGCTCGTTCTTGACTATCCCCCAAGTGAGGAAAACAAACTCCAAAGGCTGAATTCCTGCGGTGTTTCAGCTGCCCTTGGCACCCTCTGCACATTCCTTGGGCTCTCTGCCTCCCAAATTATAGCACCCAGTGTTTGGGCAGGTGCTGGGGGCGGAATTGTATCTAAACTCATCCTCTCAGGGTATTTTTGGCAGCATTCTCTTGATGACACTTGTACACAAGGCTCTGCAACAGCCCCTCTGCCACTCAGTGTGGGTGCCTGGTAATGCCCCCTCCCACCTTCTCGCAGTAAAAATAGCACAAGAAATTGTTCTTTTCTCAAACATCTCCCCCCAGAATGTCATTTTCATCTGCATCACACAAGATTTCGCTGTTTTGTTGATAGGGATTTATTGTGCTAGATTTTATCTGCCTGTTAAACACTTCCTAAGTGGGGAGTGAGTAATAAAAATGAGGTTGCAGGAATTGCTTGGTGGGGAACAGACCAGACCTACAATTTAGCGTGCTTGTTCCTGTAAGCTGAGGAACTTCAAACTGATCTGCAAATTACAAAATAAATTTAGAAAATCACTTTTCTAAATTTTCACAGCACAAAGCCTGTCCAGCAGGGTGAGAGTGAATGGCAGAATCAATGCCAATGTAGGGAACTCAGAGCAAGACCAAAAGAGTTACAGATTCCTGTAGCACAGGAGAAATTCTGGAATAAATGTGACTTCAAATTACATTAAAAAATGGATATCCTGAAGATGCTGTGGGCTGTACTCAGCAGTTCAGTCAAGGATGGAACATTGCCTTGGTGGCCTTGGACAGGACATGTCCAGCATTGTGCCAGCCTTCCCTTCCCTTCCCTTCCCTTCCCTTCCCTTCCCTTCCTTTCCTTCCCAAACCTTCCCTTCCCAAACCTTCCCAAACCTTCCCAAACCTTCTCCCTCCCAGCTGGAGGAAATGTGGAATTGTCCTTTTAAGTCCAATTCATCTCTGATCTGGGTGGGTTTTTATGCATTCAGCTTCTTCAGAAGCACTCAAAGTGCATTTTCTAAGCTTCACACCGTAGCCTCGTTCTCTGTTTATTTTCTTCTGACCCCTCCCTTTGCCTCATCTCCTCAGGCTCCATAAATGCAGATTTCAGGCAGAAGATGGGCACAACCCATCTGTGACTTGGGAAGAGCTCCCTGGAAGAAGCCAGCTCTCCTTATTCCCTGAGATTCCCACTCAAACTGATCCCCTTGGCACAAGTTTGGGGAGAAGCTGTGAGGGTGGCAGTGCCTGGCTGAGCAATGCAGCTGTTCCTTCAGCTCTTCTCATCTCCACATCCTTATTTCTTCCCTCATTTTTTATTTTTGTCTTGTTTTTGCACTTTCCTTAGGGAAGAGGAGGAAGCTGCATTGCTATTCCACAGGTACATTTTGCGCAGTGCTGCAAAGTCCCCTAAGTGATGCCCACCCCGTTTATTATTAACTTTAAAAACCACGCTCATCCTTCTGCAAACCCCAGAAGCTACCGGGGGAAAAACGACTTTGGATCACGTGGAGCACAAACACAAAGCCTTAATTAACGAGTGCTGCCCCCACTAATTGCAGAGGAGGAGCCTGTGCTGCTCCGCACCGGGAATGACAGGGAATTACAGCCCGTGTGTTTCTTCTTGCCTTGATCTCAGGCTGTGTGGGTTTGTACGAGCCGTAGAAATTATAGAATATGGAATAACACCCATGGAAGGTGTCCCAGCCCGTGGCAGGGATTGGAACTGGATGAGCTTTAATGTCCCTTCCAACCCAAACCAGTCTGGGATTCTGATTTTGCTGTAATTAAAAGCTGTCAATTCTCACGCTCGATACAAGATCTCTAATAATTAAACCTGTAATTTTTCAGGCTCGCTATAAGATCACCAACATTTAAAACCAGTACATTCTGAAGCTCCTGAAGGGATTTTTTTGGTAATTCAAGGTTTGGCTTGGAACAAACGCCTGGGAGCTGCTGCCCTTGGGGCTGTGAGACACCAGCAGTGAACAGCAATTCCAGCAGTTCCTCGGGCTGGGCACCCACGGGACACAGCACCGTGCTTGGAATTTCAAACACACGGCAAACAGGAGCAACAGGTGTCACTGGCGGTGGGAAGTGTGACAAGTGTTAAAGTGACAAGTGTGCCTCCAACCCCTTTCTCCAGGGGAGGATGCTGTCAGCCTGCTGCTCACCCAGGCGGCACAGCTGATGGCCGCATGCTTTGAGGGGGGGAAAAAAGGTGTTTTTCCCTGAAATAGTCCCTGAGAGCTGCGCGATCGCCGGTGCTGGGAGGGGGAAAGAGACGGGGAGAGAGTGGGACTGCAGCAGGATGGAGGGGAGGATGAGGAGGATCCCGGGGGCTCTGGGCACATCCCGAGCTCCGGGCATATCCCGGGGGCTCTGGGCACAGCTCGGGAGTTCCAGGCATATCGTGGGAGCTCTGGGCACACCCCGGGAGTTCCAGGCACAACCCGGGGGCTCCCGGCACAGCCCGGGGGTTCCAGGCATATCCCGGGGGCTCCGGGCACATCCCGGGGGTTCCGAGCACATCCCGGGGGTTCCGAGCACATCCCGGGGGCTCCGGGCACATCCCGGGAGATCCGGGCACATGCCGAGGGCTCTGGGCACATGCCGGGAGTTCCAGGCACATCCCGGGAGCTCCGGGCACATCCTGGGGACTCTGGGCACAGCCCGGGAGTTCCAGGGACATCCCGGGCGCTCCGGGCACATCCTGTGTTCCAGGCACATCCAGGGAGGTTCGGGCATGTCCCGGGAGTTCCAGGCGTATCTCGGGGGCTCCGGGCACATCCTGAGGGCTCGGGGCAGCATATCGGGGCGCACCCCCTTCTCCCCGAGCCCATTCCCTGCTCCCCGAGCCCATTCCCTGCTCCCAAGGCCCATTCCCCGCTCCCCGGGCACGCTGCGGCGGCCCCGGGCGGGCGCTGCCCTCAGCGTTGCCCTCAGCCGAGATGGCGGCGCTGGCGCGCGGCTCTCGCGAGGCGGGCGGGGCCGGGCGGGGCGGGGCGCGCGCGCCCTGATGGCGGCGGGGCGGCCCCTCACGGCGGGGCCGGGCGGCAATGGAGCACATCAGCACCCCCAAGGTAACCCCGCCGCCCTCCGCCCGCGGCCCCGGCCCGCTCCCCGCCGCCGCTGCCTCCGCTCCCTTCGCTCCCTTCATTCTCGGGGCTGCGGGTGGGGGGGCACAGCCGCGGTCCCCCGTGTTGGTGGCTCCGGCGCTCTGTGGGGAGGGGGTTGCAGTGCTGGGCAGAGCCCCCCTTTGGTTGCGGTGGTTTGGGGATGATTTCGGAATGTTTCCTTTCTGTCAAAGCGTGGAGATTCCTCCCAGTCCCAAGGAGGGAACCAAAGGGTGCTTTTCCTTTTTTTTTTTTTTTTCCATTGAATTAAGTCAAACACGAGCTCCGGGAATGCTGTGCTAAAAGGAATTGCATTTATTCAAGCAGCAGTTAATAATTTAATTTTCTCCTTCCCTGCGATGAAGGTTATTGTTACTCGTTTTATTCTGTAGGACGTTAGTTTGGGGATGCTCCTCACCCTCTGCTCTGAGGTGCTCTGCTGGTGCTGCATGTCGGTAGGAAAGGGCAATATTGTATTTGATAGTTATATCTGAAAAACAAACCTTCTAATAGGACACCGAGCCCAGGCCTCAGCTCTCCAATTTATTTGCCGAGATTTTCCATTTGCACTTGAGACATATGGAAGCTTGCACATTCAATACCCAGAACTCATCTATCATTTACTGCTAAAGCATTTGTTTTCATTGTCCATCCAATTATTTTTTCCTATTATTTCTGCTTAATGGCGAAAGAAAAATTCCATCTACGTTCATTAGGCGGCAAATAGGCCAGGAGAAAATCAATCCAGTGCTGTAACATATTTTATTATGCCTGTGCTGAGTTCTTTAAAGCTGTTTTTTATTAATTAGCTTGGTGTGGTTTATGAAATACACTTGGAGGCCAGGAAGTGAGTTACAAGAAGTAGCTACTAACAGGGAATGAGCAGTGGGAAGTCAGACTGGAGAGGGCTGTTCCTTTCAGAGCAACATGTTGATCACCCTGAGCACAGGCAAGTCTTTCCTTTCCAGTTCTTTGTCTTGTTATTTCTGCAGCCTCACACAGTAACAAACTGGGATCATCTTGGCTACAAATCCAGTAATCCTGTTAGGGTTTGCTGGTGCTGAACCACGGCTGTTTGCTTAACCTTCATGGCTTTAATTCATGGAGAAATAATTTGAGTTTATGGTGCAAGACTGGCTTGGTGTTGCAGGGGGGACTTAAGACCTTGTGTTTTCTGTCTTGCTTCATGAGCTGTGTATTAGAAGTTGAAAGAACAGAGCTCAACAGGTATTTAGGCAGTGCTTCCATCAGAGCTGGACTTGGAGGAATTTCCCCTCGGAAGGAGCTGCCAGAGAGGTTTGGAGTGCCCATCCCTGGGGTGTCCAAGGAACAGCTGAATGTGTGCTGGGTGACAAGGTGGGAATTGGGCACAGGCTGAGCTCCATGATCCCAGAGGGCTTTTCCAGCCTCAGCAGTCCTGGATTCTGTGTTGTTCTCACGCTGTGCTCCTGCTGCAGGTGGAAAACGTGAAGCTGCTGGATCGCTACGCCAGCAGGAAGGCAGCGAGCGGGACCCTGTACCTGACAGCCACACACCTCATCTACGTGGATACCTCTGCTGAAGTCAGGAAGGAAACATGGGTATGCTGGGCTGCAAACACACCTGGGAAAGCTGCTTCAGGTCACAGGGTGGATTGGTGGGGAGAGAATTGAAGGATTGTCCCTTTTCCCCCCTAGAGGGACACCTCCCACCGTCCCAGGCTGCTCCAAGCCCCAACGTCCAGCCTGGCCTTGGAACTTCCAGGGATCCAGGGGCAGCCCCAGCTGCTCTGGGCACCTCCCCACCCTCCCAGGGAACAATTCCTAATTCCCAATATCCCATCCATCCCTGTTCTGGCAGTGGGAAGACATTCCCCCTTGTCCTGGAATTTAATGCTCTCATTTCCAGGATGAGCAGGTTTGGGAATTCCAGAGCCATAGTGGTCTTTTAGAGCATTTTGATCCCAAATGCTTCCCAGAAACAGCTGGTTTGGAAGAAATGAACACAATGGTGACATGACTTGATAGAGTTCACTCAAGGAATTAGTGTCAGTGTAAAAAATTTCTGTAATTTCCTATTTAAAACTCAATATACAAGACCACTAAACGTGAATTTGCAGCTTTTAGAAGTGCAGACTTAGCCTGAAATGAGCCTGTTTTGTTAATTCTAAGGTGAAATGGGAATGACAGAATGTATTTCATGTGGAGGTGAAAGGAAATCTAAGTGCATCAGGTAAACTGAGCTGCACATCTGTCTCTGAAAGCAATTTATGTAACTCTGTGGTTTTTCAGTCCTGCTTTAGTTCCCTGGGTTTTGGGTGCAGTTTAGGTTTGATGTCACAAATAAACCCATTTCCTGCTGCTCCTTAGCTGCAGGAAGCACAAACAGCTGATTGTATTACAGAGGTTTCCTATCTGCTTGCACTGCTCACAGCTTTATCAGTGACAAATGATGTTTATTCCCTTTTCTGCAGATCCTGCACCACCACATCTCCAGCGTGGAGAAGCTGCCCCTGACCACGGCTGGGTACCCCCTGCTCATCCACTGCAAGAACTTCCACGTGGCTCACTTTGTCATTGGGCAGGAGAGGGACTGCCACGACGTGTTCACCTCCCTGCTCAAGCTCTCCCAGCCAGGTACTGGGCTTGGGAGCTTGGGAATGTGTGCTGGGAATGTCTGCAATGCTCCAAGCTGAGCCCTGGGAAAGCTCTGCTGCTTGGGGAGGGAGGAGTGGGGTCAGAATCAGCATCCAGCAGCAGGGACAGTGGCAGGGCTCAGGGGCTGTGCTCTGTGGAGCAGATATTGCTTCCAAACCAAACACAGTCTTGGGAGCCAAGGAGGATGGAGAGGGATTGTTTACAGGAGCCTGGAGTGACAGGGCAGGGGGGGATGGATTCACACTGACACAGCAGGGTTAGCTGGGGATTGGGAAGGAATCCTTCCCTGTGAGGGTGATGGGGCCCTGGCACAGGTGCCCAGAGCAGCTGGGGCTGCCCCTGGATCCCTGGGAGTGCCCAAGGCCAGGCTGGACACTGGGGCTTGGGCACCCTGGGACAGTGGGAGGTGTCCCTGCAGAGGTGGCACTGTTGCAACCCAAACCTCTCTGTGATTTTGTCACTCTCTGGCAGTGGGAGTGACGTGGTCTCCATGAGGAACTTCTGGAGAGCTGTGCAAAGTTCATATCCCAGACCTGGCCACTGCCAGTCCCTTGTGTCACCCAGCTGTTGGCTGTGTGCAGTTCTGCCCTTCCCAGCTGATCCAGACATTCACAGAGTTCCCAAATCCCACAGTTTGGCATCTTGGCTGTGCATCCAGCAGTGTGGTTAGGCTGCTCTGCAGTGTTTGCTCAGTGAAGCCTCTGCTTCACCCTGCCCTGACTGGGAGTCACTCTTGTAGTGTGAGCCAGCCACCCTCAAACCCCTGTGCTCTCTTCTGGATCCAGCTTTTTATTCCAGCATGGATGAATCTTCAGGCTTTTCTTGCAGGACAGCATTCCACTGAGCTCCTACCTGGCTTCTGCCTATGGCAGCCTCTGCTTTTGGGATGCTGGAACCCATTTTGGAGTTGTGTTATTACAAGGATGTCATTTGTAGTTGCAATTTGTGATGGTGTCACCAGGCTGAGGGAGAGGAATTAATGGCACCAGGGCTGGGCTGAATATCCTGAAGGAGAAATGGGCTTTGCCCAGTTTAGATGGTTTTTAATTTGATATTAAGGGCTGTGTCTGCTCCCAGCACCCCCCTTGTTCTCTTTGGAGTTATTTTAGTTCTGAAGTTCTGCCTCTGATGCTGTAACTGGCAGGTTTGTGGTATTATATTTAAAAGCTGTCACTGGTTTTTGAGGTTGAAAATTAGAGGTCTGGGTAGTGCCTGATGTGTGGGAGGTGTCACTGCAGGGGCTCACAAGTTTCCTTTGGTCTCTACTTAACTGTGTAAATGCTGTAGCTCTTTCTTTTCTTCTGCTTCTTGATTGTAGCAGCACATTTTTGTTGTTTTAAGATGTCTGGGTGTGCTCCCTTCATGGATTTTTGGCAGAGCACGTCATTGCTGGTTATTTGCACACATGTGATGGACAGCTCTGGGTTACCTGCTAGGTACCCAGCTGCTTTATCAGCCTCTGACAGGTTTCCCTCTGTCTCTGGAGCTGTCTTGGGAATCAGCTGGATGAGTTATTGGTTGGATTTGCATTTTGTGAAGAGAGGGAGGGAGGTTGGGATGGTAAATGGGCACTTGTCAGAGCCAGCCTGGAGCCTTTGTTGGGCTGACAGCAATATTCCAGACATCCCTCATGTTTTCCAGTCTCAGAATTTGTTGCTGAGCAGTGACCTTACAGGTGTGCAGGAGCTGTTATATGAACTCTCCACAGAAAACAGATCTTTTAGTCCAGGTTTTAATGGTGATGATATAAATCCCATCTAACATGCTTACTGCAGTGAATTCAGGAGGAAATCATTAGTTTAGGAGAAATTATTTCTACCAGCTTGGGTTATAACACTTTGTTAGAATTAATGTATCTCTCTGCATTTGGGAACTGAGTATTGGAAATTCCTGAGGATTTCAGGATGAATTTCAGCACTTGGTACTATCCCAAAACAAAAATCTGTAAGAGGTTGAGAAGTCTTAAATACTTTGAATGCTCCTCTGTAGCACTCAATCATTGATTTCCAGAAGTTTTGGCCTCCCTGGGTATCTTTACATCTCTAACTTGTTGAATTTTTTCTTTCTCCTTCCCAGTGAAACCTGAAGAACTTTATGCTTTCTCTTACAACCCCAAAATGTCCAAAGAGAGCCGGGAGATGGGCTGGAAGCTGATAGATCTGAAACTGGATTATCAGCGCATGGGGATCCCCAACAACTGCTGGGAGATCACAGATATTAACAAGGACTATGAGGTAATTCCTGCCCAAGGAGCCATCCATGCCCTGTCTCCTTGTTGTTATTAATGACAGCCCTGCGCTGCCTCTGGGGAGGAAGGAGCTCTCTCAAGCCCATCATCTTGATGGGGAGTTGCAGCTGATGCTCCAGGAGAGTCACCTTGTTGTGTTTGATCCCCCTGGCAAGGGAGCAGAGCCTTGTTTTTCTGCAGAAATGTCAGCCCATCTGTTAGGCAAAGCCTCAAGTACGCGGACCTGCTTTTGGTATTTCCAAAGCCTGTCCCACCTGGCTGGTGACAGATGTGGAGGAGAGAAGGAAATGGCAGCAGTTTGGATTGGTGGGAAATGAGGCAGAGTGGAGAGGGACTAGGGAAGGGAGGAAAGGAAAACAGCAGTGGAAAACAGAGCCTTTTTTGCTTTCTCAGTTGGATGTTCTACTACCTAAGGGCCCTCTGTCATTTCAGTCTGAGCTGCCTGCTGCTGCTATTTTCCCTGAAAGGCCAACTTGGATCTAAACAACATGAAACAAAAGCATTTGTCAGCAAGCTTGTTCAAAATCCTGCTCCACATTATTTCCCTTTTTATTTCCTCTGGGGCTGTGTGCAGTCAGACCTGGCTGTTGAAAAGCAAGGCAAGCAACTTCAAGGGAGACACCAACATATTCATAACCCTGAATCTCTTTCCCTGGTAACTTTCTTTACTTTAAGCTCTGGATTGAAGAAATACAAGCCTGTGCTGTCAGAGGTGGCTGCCAGTTTTACCTGCCTGTGCCTGTGGGGCCTGAATTGAGCTCTGATGTGAGAGGTGCTGTTTCCAGAACTGCTGTGGCCTCTCAAATCAGCAATCACCCAGAGGCTTTGCTTGCTGCAGTGGAACTCTCAGGTGCTTTAGAGTTTCCTCACAGTTTCCAGCCTGTGTTTTGGAGTTGTCAAGCCTGATGTAAAACCAGGCTTGGAAAGCAGCTTATCTTTGCAGTCCATGCTGCACAGACTGTGCTTGTTTGAGGAGAAAGGATGAGGCTGCTCTCTGAGGATTCCACCTGAGTGCTGGAAGTGCCTTCCAAGTTGCATAACATTTAGAGAGAACTTTTTAAATAGTGTTAATTTCTTTTTTGGAAAAAGAATGGAAAGGAGTTCTTGGCTGTGAGGGTGGGCAGGCTCTGGAATAGAATTCCCAGAGCAGCTGTGGCTGCCCCTGATTCCCTGGCAGTGCCCAAGGCCAGGCTGGACAGGGCTTTGGAGCACAGTGGAAGCTGTCCATGGCAGGGTGTGGGATGGCTTTAATGTCCCTTCCAACCCAACTCATTCTGTAAATCTAATTTAGAAACTTCCATGACATTTCTGCATTTAAAGAACTTCTTGAAACTGCTTTGTGTCCAGATTTTAGGTTCAGCTGCAGCATTGATTGTTTCCTGCATTGTTTTCCTGAACATCTCGTAACCTAATAAGCTAAAGATGAATTTTTCATGAATTTTGAAGTGCTCAGAAGCAATATGTGGTTCTTTTGCTCTGTTTTCCCTCAGGTTTGCAGCACATACCCTCCTGAGATCGTGGTGCCTCGAGCTGCCACCAAGGCCGTGGTGATGGGAAGTTCAAGGTTCAGGAGCCGAGGGCGGATTCCGGTGCTTTCTTACTTGTGCAAGGAAAACAATGTTAGTGCTTCACTGCCTGCTGCCTGGGGGGAGTGAGGGCTCTCCTTTTTGTCCACTTCCCTTCTAATGGAAGGAAAGAATAAGATAATAATTAGATTTGAGGCCTTTGAGAGCTGTGCTTCTCTTAATGGCTTTCATTCTGAGTCACAGAATGAGCTGAAGGCCAACACTTGGAATGCATCCAGAGCTCTGCCAAAAGCACTGACTTTCCAAGCTTCCTGTTGGGAATTTTTTCTTAATCAGCTTTCAGCAGTTCCTTCTGATGTGGGTTTTTTTAATCTCCTCTTTAGCTATATTGAATAATGTTTTACCAAGTTATATGTTGACTTGGCTGGATTTTCTTAGTATTGAAGAGGAGGAACCAGCCTGAAATAAATCCCCACTAGTTCAGAATAAGTGAAGGTTTCATTTTTTTTTCCACTGAAGACCAGAATGTAAATTTGTAACTTTGCTGCCTCAGCAGTGTTTTAGATGCTGATCTTAGGAAAATTCAGTCACAGCCAAATTGTTGTTTTCCTGAGGAAGCGTGCCTTGACCTGGGCACTGCCTGGAGCTGTGCTGGAAACTAATGAAATTTCCTTAAAATACACCCTGTGCTGCTCTGAATATCCAACAGCAACAACTGATAAGAAAAACTTAAAAAAATGGTTTGGGAATAGAAACCAAATGGAAAACATGAGAAATTGCTGCCTTCCAGTACTTTCAGGAGGCTCATGGAAAGGAGGGAGAGGGATTTTTATATGGGAAGATAGTGACAGGGCAAGTGGGAATGGTTTTAAACTGCCAGAGGGCAGGGATGGATGGGATATTGGGAAGGAATTGTTCCCTGGGAGGCTGGGCAGGTCTGGCACAGGGTGCCCAGAGCAGCTGTGGCTGCCCCTGCATCCCTGGCAGTGCCCAAGGCCAGGCTGGAGCACCTGGGGATAGTGGAAGGTGTCCTTGCCCATGGCAGGGGGCAGAATGAGATATTTTGAAGGTCCTTTCCATCCAACCATTCTGAGATCCCATGAACTGCTGACATTTGGGGTGGTGACCATCAGGCAGAGCAGGTGGAGCTCCTCACCCTCACTACTGCAAGTTCCCCAAAATTGTCACTTTGTGGAATGTCCCAGTGTGTGTCCAGTGACTCCGAGGGGTGTGGGGCAGGAGGAGAGGCCTGAAGGTGTGAGCTCAGGGGTTTGGGGCAGGAGGGGAGGCTGGCGCTGTGAGCCCAGGGGCTGTGGGGCAGGAGCAGAGGCTGGAGCTGTGAGCCCAGGAGGCTGTGGGGCAGGAGGGGAGGCTGGAGCTGAGCCCGGGGGCTCTGGAGCAGGAGAACAGACTGGAGCTGAGCCTGGGGGCTCTGGGGCAGGAGGAGAGGCTGAAGCTGTGAGCCCAGGGGCTCTGGGGCAGGAGGGGAGGCTGGAACTGAGCCCAGGGGCTCTGGAGCAGGAGCAGAGGCTGAAGCTGAGCCCAGGGGCAGGAGCAGAGGCTGGAGCTGAGCCCAGGGGCAGGAGGACAGGCTGGAGCTGAGCCCAGGGGCTGTGGGGCAGGAGAACAGGCTGGAGCTGAGCCCAGGGGCTCTGGGGCAGGAGCAGGGTGCTGGCAGCAGGCTGACCTGTGTCTGTGTGTCTGTCTGTCTGTGTGTGTGTCTGTGTGTGTTGCAGGCTGCCCTGTGCCGCTGCAGCCAGCCCCTGGCCGGGTTCAGCGCGCGCTGCCTGGAGGACGAGCAGATGCTCCAGGCCATCCGAGAGGCCAACCCCGGCTGCCCCTTCATGTATGTTGTAGACACGAGGCCAAAGGTACCTCCATGGGCTCTGGGCTGCTTTTGAATCCCTTGTGTGAATGTGCAGTGCTGTTTCCAGTTCATTCTGTCACAATTCTGGGTCAGTCAGTCCTGCAGAGCAATGTGGGATCAGGCTTCTGGTCCAGGGTGTACAAATGGAATGTGAAGTTGATCCTGAGGATTTTTGCCTCCTGGAGTATCCTGGGTTTGAGGTTTGATGAGGTCTCTTGTGTTGAGATGACCCCAAGGTGTTAGAAAGTCTCTTTTTCCCAGCCCTGAGACTGAAGAAGAAGACAGGATTCCTTGGCTCTTGTTCCCAAGGCTGTTTATTTTCTCTTATCTAATTCATTGTCTGTCTGACCCTCTGAGGTCTGTCTAGCAGGTTGAATTTGGCACAGTTCCCGCCCTTTTATACTAAAAACTCCATGTACTTTATTTACAATAATTTTCCAATACCTATCACCTGTGTTAGGCACTCTGTCTCCACTCTAAACCAATCCAGAAGTGTCACCATCACAGCAGAAGATGGAGGACAAGGAGAAGAAAGAGAAAGGCTGGACATGCCCAGATTCCTCCATCTTGCCTCCTGAACCCCCATTCTAAAACCCCAAAATTCTACATTTTCCCCCTGTGATAAATTCACTAACATTCTACTCAAACTCTTGTGCCTTGTACATCTTCACACAAAGTTGGGAATTGTTTCCATGGGCTAAAATCAAAGGCCCAGGTGTTTGTGACTCTGTGCCAAGGTCTCTGAGCCCCTGCCAGGGTCTGGAGTCCTCCAGGGCAGGCAGAGCAATGTCCTGGCTCCTGACAGGTTTGTGTTCAGGATGACCTGATGGGACTGGCAGTTGTGAACCTGGCTGGGACAGTGAAGCATTTTCCTGCAGAGTCCTAAAGGATAAAGGAGAGAACTGGAAGTGGAGTTGGAGAGAAGCCTCAGGATTCAGTTCCACAAGGCTGAAGTGCTTTTACTGGCAGATCTGGGAGGAAGTGCAGCTGTGAAAAGCAATCCCTCCCCTTTTTTTTTTCCTTTTAAAAATAAGACTCATGATGGAGCTTAATACAACTCAGGCCCATGATTTGGGGCTAGAACTTGAGAGCTGAGGGTTTATTTGAAAGGAAATATTTGCAAAATGAAAATTTTAATGACTGTCATCTTGAGAAACTGAGTTTAGAAACCAATTGCAGTGATTCTCCTGTAAACATATGGATTGGGAGTGTTGTTAGAAGCCAATTAGAACACAAGGGTTTTTATAGCTTGCAGTTATTTAAATTGCTCTGATTGTTTGAAAATGGAGCTTTCTGAGAACCTGCTGCACTGTTCAGATCTTGCTGTTATTTTATATAAACGACAAGTTTAGTTAAACTGTGGCAAGAGCAAGAAAAAAAGTGTGGTTTTGGGGAAAACAGGCAGTGTTTCCCACCTTGCTCCAGTGTGTATTTTGGCTTTTAGTGTGACATTCCCTGGAGATCCCTGTTCTGCAATGATATGTGCATTTCTGGGACAGACAGCTGCCAGTGGCAGGGATGTGCCACTGAAATCCATCCCTGGTGGCAATTTGTGCTAAAGCATTTGGTGACAAGGGGAGAATTTATAATTGGTGACACTTCTTGTAACCCAACCTGTCCCACTCTGGCAGAACTGAGGCACTGGGGTTATTTCACAGTTCCAAAGGTGCCTGCACCACATCTGACTCTTCTCTCCCAAAAGCTGCCCAAATTGATAAGGGGGGCTTGAGCTGCTCTGTTTTCTGTCCCCACCAGAGATGTCCTGGTAGCTCTTGAGCTGCTTTGGGGAATGTTAAAGCAACTGATTTCTTTTCTGCTTCTGTCTTGCAGTTGCTCTGTTCTTTCTGCTCAACTTCAATGTTTCTGTGTTTCCCTCAGGTGGTTTCATTTTCTCTGTGTATGTATGTCTGTGAAAATTGGGAATTCCCTTGCTATTTCTATACCATGTATGTAAAAATGTTCAAAATGTCTTTCCTAGTTCTGCTTTCCTGTGCCTGTCTCTGAATTTCCCTAGATAAACTCAGGGCAGGTTTAGTGTCTCTGATAGCAGAAACAGTGGTTTATACTACCCTGAGAAGGGCTTTAATGGGCCTCTGACTAATGAACTGCAGTAATTTTAATGAAACAGCTGAAAGAACTGTCTGGGAGGTGGGGAAGTACAGCTGAGTAACAGCTTTGTCCAGAACATTTTCTGAGAGATTTAAACAAAAAAAAAAAAAAGAACTTGCAAAACAGCCTGTCTGAATTTTGTTGTGATTTTTCTCTTTCTTTTCTCTTCTGCTCCTTGAATTTGCCAGTTGAATGCCATGGCCAACAGAGCTGCTGGGAAGGGCTATGAGAATGAAGATAATTATGAAAACATTCGTTTTAAATTCATTGGCATAGAGAACATCCATGTGATGAGGAGCAGCCTGCAGAAACTGCTGGAAGGTGGGTACAGCCCTGGAGGGGTTTGTCTTTCTGTCCCTCTGGACAGAACTTCTGCCAAACATCCAAATATTCTGTGCACAAACCTGTTCTGATGGAAGCAAAGTCAGCATCTTGCTTTGTTTGCTGCATTCAGGTGGCTGAAAGTGTTAATGCTGTTAAAATGCTTTCCTGCTTGACATTTTCTTTGTTCTTGGTTTTATAGTGGTTCAAAGATAGCAACTTACACTAAAAGCACTCCTTGATGAATGTGTTAAATTAATAGAAAAAGGTTAGAGAAATATTACATTTACAGCTAAGACAGTGTCATTGCTGCTTCATGACTTATTGAAGGAAAACCAACAGAGGTTGTTCAGAAATGCTTTTTGGGGTTTGCTATATTTGGATTATTGACAGTATTTCTGAGTTGGAATACATGATCTTCCAAAGACTTGAGTCTCATACATATTTGGTTCTAACTTTTCATTTATTTCTGATTCCTTTTAACCAAACTCCTTTAAAATGTAGTAAATGAATGTTTTAATATATAAATATATGAAAATGCAGAGTAATTAAGCTCATTGTGATCATACGGAGGAATGCAAAGCACAGCAAAAGAGTCACCTGAGATTGGGAATTGTGAGAGTAATGAGGCCCAGAGTTTCACCAGCAGAATTTTGGACAATTGTGCAATTCAAGTCCTCCAAAATAGGAGTTTAATATTTTAGTAAGCACCATACTCATCTTTTTTCCAAAATAGTTGGGTAATTGGTGCTCCCAGGTGGCCCTGCAGGATCCATGGTGACCCTGGACACAAATGGGGCTGTTGCCCCCCAAAGGAGTGGCCTGATCACAACTCTGAGTCCTCATTTGCCTCTTCCTGACAGATTTATTGTGTGCTGGGAGAAGAGGCAGAATAAAAACTTGTTTGCTCCCATGTTCTTCTCCAGCAGTGATAAAATCTCATTCACTGGGGCTTGTGGAGTGCTCTGAACTTTATTACTCCAAGTGTTTTCTGTGCTGGGTTTCATTAGAGCAGCCGAGTTGCCTTCAAGGTTAGATTTGTTATTTCTGCCTCTAAATTAGAGAGAAATAACTTCAAATCTTTGGCAAGTCAGTGACTGGTGGTAGATGTGGTGGTGATTTAGAGTGAAGCAACAGCTCTTTGCTGGAAAAACCACAGCTGAATAAATAATGAGTTACCCTTTAAACAAAGAGCAGGAAGAGATTTCCAGAGCCTCAAATACTCACAAAACCAGTGATTTTTTTTTTGTTATGAATTTTAGATACACAACCATTAGTGTGCCCTTTAGACAGGATATTGCTGCAAGCACTTGAAATATTCAGGGGGATGGTGAGGAGTGCAGGAGATGCTGTTCTGACTCTGTGTGTGCCCCCAGTGTGTGAGATGAAGTCTCCCTCCATGAGCGATTTCCTGACGGGGCTGGAGAACTCGGGCTGGTTACGGCACATCAAGGCTGTCATGGATGCAGGTGTCTTCCTGGCCAAGGTAAAGCTGCTCTCCAGCTGCATTCCAGAATGCCTCCTGCTCTGCTGGGGGCTGCTGCAGGGCTGGGAAGGTGGCTCTGAGGAGAAGGTGTTGGTCAGATTGGTTTAATCTCTCCAAAAATGTTGGGTCGTGTAGCTGCTGGGCAAATACAGGTCCTGTGCCACGTGTCAGGACTTTCTTAGAGCTCATGTGAAACACAAGATCACAAAATGTGAATAAATTACCTTTATAAACCTTTCTATATAGCAATGCAAACAACTAACCCTGTGCTCATTATACACCCACTGCTGTGCTTGAATTGAGGGATTGTTTTGACTGGTTTGTTTTCTCCTGGTTTGATGTGATGTGGACACTAATTTTGATTATTCAACACAGTCCTCATTTCTGCAGAGCTGGTGGCTTTGCAGGTCAGGCAGAAGGAAGGAAGGAAGTCACTCAGGAGTAGTACAGGGTGTGCAGGAAGTGTGTGGTGAGAGGAGTGAGTAGTAAATGTTGGTTATCTCACAATTTGCCCACATCACCAGCAAGAAACTTTTGTTTCTCTCCTGCCCTGAGTGGCAGAAGGTGATGGGATAGGGGGAAGCTGGCATCAACTCTTCTAATTTATCTTGAAGTTCTAATCCCTGGGTGTCCAGCTGTTTTTTATTCATCTACCAATTTTTTTCCTCAAGGAAGAGCCTGGGAATCCTTGGCCTTCTAGAGATCACAGGGGCTGGTTTTACCAGCCTGCTGCAGCACTTTGCTCTAGCTGGGGCTTCTCTTGATGAGCTGGTGCATTTTCACAGGCCAGAGCAGAGATGGCCCCCATTCCCCCAGGGTTTTGGGGTGGTGCAGATGGGGGACAGCCTTTCCCTGAGCCCTGTGCTGTGTCCCTGGCAGCATCTCTCACAATTTGCCCAGTCACAAGCAAGAAACGTTTTTTTCTCTCCTGCCCTAAGTGGCAGAAGGTGATGGGATAGGGGGAAGCTGGCATCAACTCCTCTAATTTATCTTGAATTCTAATCCCTGGATGTTCAACTGTTTTTTACTCCTTCACCAGATTTTTTCCTCAGAGGAAGAGCCTGGGAATCCTTGGCCTTCCAGAGATCACAAATTGATAAGTGGGTGTGACTGTATTCACAGGGGTCTGAGGGTGAGGGAAAAGATGAGGATCTGACTCCATGTTTCAGAAGGCTGATTTATTATTTTATGATATATATTGTATTAAAACTATACTAAAAGAATAGAAGAAAGGTTTTCATCAGAAAGCTGGCTAAGAATAGAAAAAGAAAGAATGAATAACAAAGGCTTGTGTCTGGGACAGAGAGTCCAAGCCAGCTGACTGTGATTGGCCATTAATTAGAAACAACCACACGAGACCAATCCCAGATGCACCTGTTGCATTCCACAGCAGCAGATAACCATTGTTTGCATTTTGTTGCTGAGGCCTCTCAGCCTCTCAGGAGAAAAACTACTAAGGAAAGGATTTTTCATAAAAGATGTCTGTGACAACAGGGGCTGTTTTTACCAGTGTGCTGCAGCACTTGGCTCCAGCTGGGGCTTCTCTTGATGGACTGGTGCGTTTCCACAGGCCAGAGGAGAGATGGCCCCCATTGCCCCGGGGTTTGGGGTGGTGCAGGTGGGGGACAGCCTTTCCCTGAGCCCTGTGCTGTGTCCCTGCAGGCTGTGAGGGAGGAGAGGGCCAGCGTGCTGGTGCACTGCTCCGACGGCTGGGACCGCACGGCCCAGGTCTGCTCCCTGGCCAGCCTCCTGCTGGACCCCTTCTACAGGACCTTCAAAGGCTTCATGGTAAGGACATGCTGCACTTCCAGAGCCAGCAGGCCCTGGGGAAGGGCTCAGGCCGTTTCCTGGGACAAGTATGTGTGACCTACATAAGGCAGCTTTGGTTCTGTAATGAGCTGGAATTGCTGTGAGCAGCACAGCAGCAGCTGATTGACAATTCCCAAATCCCTGTTTCCTGCAATGTCTACATGGGAGCCACTAATGAGACATCTCAGCAAAGGATGCAGCTCTGGCAGCAATCCACCAAAAAGTACTGGAGGAGTTTGTCCTGAAGGTCTCTTACCTGCTGGGATTTGAAATTGGGTGAACTCAGCCCTGTCCATCAGACAAATCTGCATCATTTCACACCTTTTTAAAAGCCATTTAGTTTTCATTTGGCTGTTCGCTTTAGTGTAGGCTTTTTCTTAATTTGCAGCCATCCCTGCCTGAATTCAGGGCAGTCTGTGATGTTTCTTTCCATTCATCTCTGGTTAAATACCTGAGGAGCTGCTCTGTCTCAGGAGAGCTCCTTGAAGGAATCCCTGAAATCAGAACAATGCAGATTTTGCCTTTTCCAGTGCCAGGACTGTTTCTTTGCATTCCATGCTGGTTTTATTGTTTCTATTTTTATTTCTGGATTATACTGCAGTCTTTTAACAGTTAAATTCCATCAGCACATGAAACATCTGCCTGGGTTTTGTCCCTGAACAATCCTGCATGAACTAAGAACAGGATTTCACTCAGGAGCAGTGACACAGACACAGCCCTGTCTGTCCTCATGGTTTGTAGGCACAGTCCCCTGACATGGGCTTATTCCTGAATTAATTCATCAGCAGTGCAAGGAATGGAAAAATTCAAAAAGCAATTTAAATGAAGTTTTCTAAGAATTCAGTTGTGAGTTTCTGCCTTCCTCCTCTTAATCTGGATGATGATAGCAGGAATTATCTTTAAATATGATCCAGCAAAGTCATGATGGATGCAGGTTCTGTCATTTGGTTCCTTGTGAGGCATCTGTAAGGAAAACAGATTATTTTATCATATTTATCTGTAAGGAAAACAGATTATTTTATCTTATTTTAAGGAAAACAGATAATAACAGTTATTATTTTCTAGAAATTCAGGCATCTCTTTTAAAAATGCCACATAGTTGTTCTGATTTCATCCTGAACTCCTCATTACCCAGCTGTATTTTATAGATTTCTTTTTGTCTGTTAAACATTTGTTGAACTCCACTTGCTGATTTATTTTGCTGAATATTACAACACTCTTTTCTAAATTAAATAGCACAGTGTAATATTAAGCTGTTAATTCTTTCAGCTCAATATATTTATATATTATGATTTTAACAACTTAGAAACTCCCTCAAAATGATAGTTTTGAAATGAGTTCTGATTCCAGCAGGGCCATTGCCTTGGTAACTGGATAATCTATAAATCACAATTGCTGTTCCCATTGATTTCTGGGGATATATTCATAGCAATAGGGTCAGCAGGTTGTCAGCTTTTTGGGCTTTAACATCAAAGGTTTCATTTTGCTTTTTTAACCAAATTAATGCTCTTTTCTTAATCCCTGCTTTGAACCTGCAGGTGCTGATAGAAAAGGAGTGGATTGCAATGGGCCACAAGTTCTCACACAGGTGAGAGGGGCACAGTCCTCTGGGGTGGGGGAGTGAAACCAAAACTGTCTGAAGGTTTAGGGGATCCCATGAAAAATTGAAATTGAAAGGAGAAAATGTTGGGAAAATATTGGCAGTGGTGACACAGAGCCAGGGTCTGCTAAGGCTAAGTTATAATAATTGCTAAGTTATTTCATCACTGTGTTTTTATTCTTTACAAAATCATGGCTTGAATTCTGGGTGTTTTCCTGCCTGTAAAATTCTATTATTTGAGGAGTGCTAATCATGGAATCACAGGACCATGAAGGCTGGAAAAGACTTCCAAGATCATGAAGTTCAGCCAGCACCAGCACTAACCCTTGTCCCCAAATGCCACATCCACACATCTGTTGAGCACTTCTGGGGATGGTGACCCCACTCTGTCCCCTCCACAGTGCTCCAGCCAGACCTGGTAATTCTCCTGGTAAATCTCTGGGAGAGCATCCCAGCCACTTTCCCAAGATCAAAGCATAAACCTGAGCTGGAAGAAAAGGGGTTGATTTGGATGGACGACAGAAGGATGGCAAGGGGATGTTTTGTGGTGGGTGACAGGAGATTTATTCTGCTTTTTGCACCTCTGTAGGTGTGGCCACCTGGATGGGGACCCCAAGGAGGTGTCCCCTGTGTTCACACAGTTTGTGGAGTGTGTGTGGCAGCTGATGCAGCAGTTCCCCTGCTCCTTCGAGTTCAGCGAGCGCTTCCTGCTGGAGATCCATGACCACGTCTACTCCTGCCAGTTTGGCAACTTCCTGGGCACCTGCCACAGGGACAGGGAGGAGCTCAGGTGAGCTGGGGGCTCCTGGAGGCCACACATCCCCTGGAATGGCTGCAAAAGGATGTGTTTTATGGATTGGAGATTGTGGATCAGAACCATTTATCAAGGCAGTGTTATCCTTAAACAACAGGAATAAGGAATATTAATCATATCCCACAAATATGTTTTGGTTTGGAGCACAACAAAAACTTGCAGATATCCCTGAGTGTCCATTTGAATATCCTGTGCTTATGAAATCAATCAGATCCAGCATAAAAACAATTCTTAGCTCCCTTAATCTAATTCTGCTCCCAACAGCTGCAGTTATTAATCCACTTGCTGCTTTTTTTAGTGATCAGATGTTCTTTGTACTTGCCAGGATCTTTGAGAAGACCCATTCCCTGTGGCCTTTCCTCTTGCAGAGGAAGCAGGAGTTGAGAAATCCTTTGTACAGAGGATTTACAGCTTACAAAGAGCTTCAACCAAACACTCTACCTTTCAGTTTCCAGTAAGTGGCTCAGCTAAGAAGGGGAAGGAGGGGGACATTTCCTTCATTAATAACTCATGTTAAATCAAATAAATTTGCACTGATTAGCTTGGTTTGTTTTACCTTTCCCCTCCATTCCTCAGGCATAAACTAAGAGGAGTAGTGCAAAGGTAAAATAAATTCAGATGCTGTAATTTAAAATAATATTTGTAATTTGGTGTTGAGAAAAGAGGGTGGGGAAAGGCAAGGAAAAGCAGAACTTCAGACAGACGCACACACACCCCCTGACTGTCACACTGAAGTGTTTGAAACAGTTCCTCTTTTCCTCCTTTTTAATGTATATTAAGGAAGTCTTTCAAGCAAGAATTTTGGTGCCCAGTTCAGGATTTTTCCCAGGCTTTGTTTCTGCCTCACTCCTGGGCCCTGCTGAGAGAGAGGGAGATGAAAATGGGATTTTAAGTACTGTGTGTGCAATTGAAAGTTGGGAGGTTGGGCTGATGCCTTGTGAAGGCTGCCCTAGAACAGAGGCTGGACAGAGTTACAGAATAAAGCAGGGATTTATTAAAAGGCCTCAATGGATGCACCTTGTGCAGCACAAGAGCCCAGCCAGGGCTCCACCCAAGATGAACCAAAATGGTCACAAAAATCCCTGACTGCTCATGGGGTCTCTCACTTTGATCAGTTCTGCTCCATTTCCATATTGGTGTTCATTGTCCCATTCCAGCTTTAGCCCATGCAGTCCCACCCTGCTTGTTTTTCTCTCTCAGCTCACGGTATTTGCGCTCTTGGGGCTGAGATTTGGATCATTTGTCCTTGGTGCCCAGCTGGAGCAGGAATTGTTTTGTCTCCCTGCTCTGTGCACAGAGCTCACCATCCCCTCATATGCAGCCCAGACCCACACACTAAAGCAGCACAGAATGTGAAAAATAGAAAAGCTAAAACCTGAGGCATCAGGGCAAACTCGGGAGTGGAAGATAAGATGCCCAAGCTTCCAGCAAATCTGCTATTAAAAAAAGTATTTTCATCCTATTCTAATATTTACTGCCTGATTTTTTAACTTGAAGAAAAGTTGCTCATTGCTACCGAATTTAATAATCCAATGCTGTGGCAGGTTTTCAAATTAATTCCTAATCTTGGTTTGTTATAAATAATACCCAGCATCTGTTTGTTGGCAATGGCCAGCTGAGCCCTTAAGTGCTGTTTCTGGCTGGTTTTAGGTTCTGGTGTGGCATGTACAACCGCTTTGACAAGGGCATGCAGCCCAAGCAGAGCGTGCTGGAGCAGCTGCTGAGCTGCCTGAGGCACAGCGTCAGCCTGGAGGAGAGCGCGGCCCAGCTGGAGAACGTGAGCCAGGGGTGAAAGGGTTAACTGGGATCAGTGTTGGACTTAGCATGGAAATATTGTAATGGAAATATAGAAATATTGGCCATTAAATAGAGAAATTGTACATGGATTATATAAAGATATATTAAATATAATATAATTATAGAATGAAAGTATATTAAATAAATATACTGTAAAAAACTATATATAACATAAATATAGAAATATTGGCCATTAAATAGATAAATTGTACATGTATTATATAAAGATATATTATACATAAATATATATAATATAAATATAGAGTGAAAGTATGTTAAATAAATATACTGTATAAAACTATATATAATATAAATATAGAAATATTAGCCATTAAATAGATGAATTGTCCAGGTATTATATAAATACATATTATATATAATATAAATATAGAGTGAAAGTATATTAAATAAATATACTGTATAAAACTGTATATAATATAAATATATAAACACTGGCCATTAAATACATGAATTGTACATGTATTATATAAATATATATAATATATAATATAAATATAGAATGAAAGTATATTAAATAAATATACTCTATAAAGCTATATATATATCACATAAATATATAAATATTGGCCATTAAATAGATAAATTGTATGTGTATTATATAACGATATATTATACATAAATATATGTAATATAAATATAGAGTGAAACTATATTAAATAAATATACTGTATAAAACTATGTATAATATAAATATATAAATATTGGCCATTAAATGCATAAATTGTACATGTATTATATTTATATATTATATATGTGATATATGAATGTATATAAAAGATATATATCATTAAAATATATTAAATGAATGTACAGTATAAAATTATACATATACATATTTCATGTAATATAAATATTGGCCATTAAATAGATAAATTGTACATGTATTATAATATATATATAATATAACTATAGAATGAAAGTATATTAAATAAATATACTGTATAAAACTATATATAATATAAATATATAAACATTGGCCATTAAATAGATAAATTGTACATGTATTATATAAATACATATTATATATAATATAAATATAGAGTGAAAGTATATTAAATAAATATTCTGTATAAAACTATGTATAATATAAATATATAAACATTGGCCATTAAATAGATGTATTATATAAAGATATATTAAATATAATATAATTATAGAATGAAAGTATATTAAATAAATATACTGTATAAAACTATATATATAACATAAATATAGAAATATTGGCCATTAAATAGATAAATTGTACATGTATTATATAAATATTGTACATGTATTATATAAATATATATATGATATATGAATATATATCATATACATATGTAATGAAAATATGTTAAATAAATATACTGCATAAATTTATACATATACATATTTTATGTAATATAAATAGACAAATATTGGCCATTAAATAGATAAATTATAAATGTATTATATTTATTATATATAAATATATATAATATACATATATAATGAAAATATATTAAATATACTCTATAAAATTATACATATACATATTTTATGTAATAGAATTATATAAGTATTGGCCATTAAATATACACATTGTACATGTAGTATGTATAAATATATTTTAATTATATATTTATAGTATGTATATTATATATACTATAAATATATTGTATAAAATCATATTATATAAATATAGGCCATTACATATACAAATTGTACATGTTGTATATATATAATTATATATTATATAATTATATAATAAATATATAATAAAATATGTAAAAATATATTGTATAAAATTACATGTGTATATAATATATAAATACATAAATATTGGTCATTACATATATAAATTACACATATATGATATATAAATATATCATAAAAAGATATTATATAGATATATTTTCTAAAATTTTACATATATATAATATATACATACTGGCCATTAAATCTATAAATTATACATGTATTATATAAATATGTATTATACCTATATAATATAAATATATATTGTAAAATTATACATGTATATAGAAATATATAAGTATTGTCCATCAGATATATAAATTATACATTATTCATATATGACAGATATATATAATATAAATATGGTATAAAATTATACATGTATATATAATATATAAATTTATAAATATTGGCCATTAAATATCTCAATTATACATATATGCTAGAAATATATTATATAAAGATATTGTATAAATATATATATACTGTAATAATACAATATAAATACATAAATCTTGGCCATTAAATATGCCATATACTATAAACATATATGTTATAAAAATATATTGTATGAAATTAGATTTGTAGATAAAATGTAAATATTTAAATATTGGCATTTATTTCCCCATTTCCCATCACATAAAATCAAATCAGATAAATATACTGCCAATTCATTCAAATTTATTAAACAGGTCTTAAAATATTCTAAGCAAAGATACCTCTTTATGTCTCTCCTAGGAAAAAGAATCCAGTTAAAATTTTAGTTTAAAAATGTGAGTGGAGTTGTTTTGTTGTGGATTTTTTTGCCATTCACTGTTGTGGGGCCAGCATCCAAGTCAGATCATTTCAGAGGAATGCCTTCCTCACTTTGCTCCAAACATGGGTACTCCATGTGCCTTGTATATTATTTGGAGCTCCATGACAATGAGTGATGTTTGTGCTATTTCAGAGTCCTGGAGCACTGCAGAATCCTTGGGCTGAGGGCAGGAGATGCTGACACCAGGCCAGTGGAAATGGCAGAGGAATCAAACCACATAAACCACATGAACCAACCAGCTGGGTGGAAATGAGGGTTCACTGACAAACCTCTGTGTGATAAAATCCCCAAAACACCCCCAAACAAATCAAAATACAGTTTTTAAAATACACCAGTGAGTAGAACATCAGTGCCCTTTGCTGGGGTGATGTGAATGCTGAAAAGTTCAGCTTTATTCAGCTTTGTTGGTTAAACATTGATGTTTGTGTCAGACATGGCAGGATCTGTGTCCAGGTATTCCTGCTGATGTTTGTGTCAGGCATTTGAGGATTTGTGTCCAGCTACTTCAGAGCTGGAAAAGAGGCACTGCCACAGGGCTGTTGTTATATTGACACCTGGTTTTTGTCCCTCTCTGGCATCAAGGTATTAATTATTTGTTTTTGTGCCTTTTTATTTGTGCAGAAACTCCCTATCCTGGACGGCCCCTTGCCCAGCAAAGGCTGCACCTCACCCAAGGCAGGAGCTGCTGCTGCCAAAGCCCCAACTCCTCCTCAGGACTGTGCAGAGGGAGCAGCCCCTGTGCTGAGCAATGGCCCCTCCCTGGGGCAGCAGAAGCACAAGGAGAGCCCAGCCCAGCCCCAGGATCCCGGAGCCTGCAGGGAGGATGGGCAGGCTCAGCACCAGGGATGAGCTCTGGGAGCTGCTGGGAGAAGCTCTGGGGAGCTGCTGCAGCCCCATTTGCAGCTGAGTGTGAGTAGGGTGTGCAGGGCTGGGGAGCAGCTGCTGGGGGACACCTCCTGCAGCTCAGGTGATGCAGAGCTGCCAGGAGCCTGCCTGGCATCCCTGGGAACTTGGCTTTTCTGAGGGTTAGGGCTGCCTGCCAGCTCTGCTGTTTGAGGCTGGAAGAAATCTTGCCAACTCCATGAGGAGCTGGGCAGTAACTGCAGGAGGAAGGATGCAAATCCCTCTGCTCTCAGTGGTGGTCCAAGGTCATCTTAAAACAAGAAAAAATTTCAATCTGTCTTCAAATGATAAAAAACCCCCCAACCTTTCTTAGCTGTGAATGAATCTCTGCATGGACCCTTGCCTTGTAGCAGAACTGATTCATGTTTTGTTTCCTATGCATATTTGTTACACAAAACCAAACCCCCTGTGCCTTCTCTGAGACTGTGTCCATGTCCAGCCAGGCCACTGCAGGTTTGGTGCTGGAGTTTGCAGTGTGCTCTTGGTCCTGTCTGTAGTCAGTGTTTGTGAGAGGTTTTCTGCTGCTGCAGCTTCTCCAGGGTTTTTGCTGTTCCTCTGAGTTCAGCAGCTTTTATGGAGCTCCTTTATTGATGGGAGTGCAGAGCCAGCCCATAACACATGGATTTGTGATAAGAGGGAGGATTGGAAATGAGGAAAGGCAGCAGAACATTTATGTGGAATTTTTCTCTCTTATTTTATGATCTTGGTTAAACTGAAGCAAGAGAGTAACTCTGTTCCAAGGTGAAATCATTGATGAGACAGCAGTTACAGATGGGGCTGTGTTCTGGTATTGAAATGGGGCCTGAAATGATAAAATCACTTGCTGAAGGATTCTAGGGAATGTTCAGATTGCAGGAACTTTAGGGATGTTTTGTCTGTCTCATGAACAGTATCTCTCATGGCAGTGAACTTGGGAAGAAACAGAAGAAGCAAGGACTTCTCTCCCAGGGATTGGGGGTCACAAATGAGTGCTTGAAGGTCACCCAAAGAATCCTTGGGAGAGGCAGGAGCAAAAGCAGGTTTGATATAAAAAAGTGTGACCAAATCCATTAGCAAGGTTCGCTCTGTAACTTATTAAATGGTTAAAGCACACAGAGAAAAACTAAAATAGAAAATCAGGCAATCTAAAACTACAATCAGCCAGCTTGGAGGCTGGGATGGAAAAGGGTCAGGATGAAATGGAATGGAATGGAATGAGGGAGATTCTCCTGTTGAGTCACAGGGTTCAGAGTGGAGCATCCTCCCAGACTGAGCCCTAGAGTTGTCAGCAGTTCAGGCCTAAAGGTTTCCTGGAATCAGAGAATCAGTAGCAGCACTTGAACTCAACAGCAGAGTAAGGAATTGAACAAGGGGTTTATGTGGAATTCCCTGTAAGCACAACAGGAGCTCCCTTAGAGGCTGAACTCACAAATCCAAAGTACTCCACAGTCCAGGAGAGCAGCATTGCCAGTGCTTTGGCTCTGGCACAGCCCCAAGGACCAGGTCCAGGTGTATCCCTGGGGAAAATTCCCCTCCAGTTCCCTGTTTATAGAGAGCTGCTTTTATCAGAGTCACTTTCCAGCCTGGCTGCAATTTGGGTCAATATCTTCCTTTGAAAGGTCAATAACAAAAATGTTCTACTTGCCTTGTTAATCAGGCAAGAAAAATCAGATTGCAGAGCTGGTGGCTAAACCCAGGAGTTTGTACTCCAGCCCTGGGAGCAGCCAGTGTTCCTGATAAGCTCAGGGTGCTGCCACTTATCAAGGTCAAGGCCTGAGGACATTTCTGAGATGGTGGTGAGGCCTTGGGAGCCCAGAGGGTTCCCCTCCCCAGGAAAGCTGTGCCACTGTCCTTGTTCTGTGCTGGATTGCACTGAATCCCCCTGTGCAGCTTTGTTCAGGATGCTGCTCTGCCCTCTTCTCAAGCTGTTGTTTCAGTTAGGTGCTGCCATTAAGTTTTCCAATCAGATTTGCTCTTTTATAAAAGTTTGGAGGCCAGCTGAAAATATTTGAGCCTTCCCAATCTCCAGTGAAAGCAGAAACATTCCATTGTAACAGCAGGAAGTGCAATAACTCTGCTGATGTGCTTTTAACCCTTGGTGAAATCACTGGGTGGATCCAGTGTCCAAAACCCAACCCAAACCTCCCTGAGTGGCTGTTCTGGGTAAGAAAATACCCATTTTATAAAGCACCTGAAAGATCCAGGGAAAAAGACAGCACAGAGTTTCTCCACTCCATTCCATTCTCCTGGAATGGCAAAGAGGAAGATTTTCAGTATTGAGGGTTTGTCAGACCTAAATAAAGTTGTTAAAGGAGTGGGAGCTACAAGAGTGATTGATTAAAAATGGAACACTGGAAATACTGACCCAGGTGTGAGTGAGGGATCAGCCCTGTCTTTTCTTTCCAGGGGCAATGGGCAACACCCATCCCCAAATCTCAGAGAAAATGGGGCATGAAGCCAAGACTGGCACTTCTTAGGACCAGTTATTCCATGGATCATCAGTTCTTTGAATATCTTTAATAAATTCTCTAATTTTCATTAAAGATCTAAAACTGGAGAGGGTTTTGATTGACTACTGAAGGACTTAAAGGTGCCATTGGTTAATTATTGTACAAATCCAGCTTGCAGAAGGCTCCTGGAAATGTTTGTACGATGCTTTGCCTTTGGAATTGCCATTGGAGGAGTTTAATAATCTTTCCTTGTTCCTAAAAAGCTTGTCTCCACAAAACTCCAATGTTACTACAAGTGTGTACAACCACCACCAGGTTACTCAGTGTTGTAAGCCTGGAGTAATCTGTCGATTGTAATTTTTGGGTTTGGCACAACAGAGCCAAACCCAAAACTTTATGTCTTTCAAACCTCTTGGATTTCATGTGTGGAGTGTGAGGCAGAGGCTGCAGTGTATTAAAAGCCTTTGATGCTGGAGCTGGAAAAAATTCCAGGGTTTCCTCTTTTTCCACAAACCCATGGTTTGAAAACCAATGAAGGAGACACTTTTTGGGTTTGGTGGCAGCTCTGGGCTGTTTGAAGAGCAGAAGTGAGGAGGTGCTCAGAGCTCTGCAGTGTCCTGAGCTCAGCTGGGATCTGCTGATCAAAAAATCTGTGTTCCCTGCCCCTGGAGCATCCTGGAGCATCCTGTGCTCCCTGGAAGTGTGGGAGCAATGGAGGAGCTGTGACTGCTGTTGGGAATCTGCTGCTGCTGCTGGAGGAAGTTCCTTTCACTGATGGATTCCTAGGGAGCAGCTGTGCTTTGTGAGGGCAGAAATCCTGCTTTGATTTGGAGATGTGCAGTTCTTTCCATTTGGATTCCTGTCACTGGGAGAACTGGGAGGGAAGAGGGATCAGATTTGCTGCAGTTTGTGGAAAACTCTCCCTTTTCTGGAGCTGCTCCTGCCTCACCAGGACATTCCATGGTCTCTCCAGGACATTCCATGGTCTCACCAGGACATTTCATGGTTTCTCCAGGACATTCCATGCCTTCCTGCCTTTTCCCAGTGTCTCCTGTGCTACAACCAGGTGTAACCTTGTAGCAGCCTGTCATGCTCTGTGTTCAAACTCCTACTCTGAAGCACAAGAGGGACTCGTGGAGCTTCATTTGAAATGTCTTCAGTGTGAACTTTGTTCTGTGGATTCTTAAATTGGGGTTTTCTTTTGCTGTTGTCACCTGTGGGAGAGAAAATCCAATTGGTGCTGTTTGCTCTGCAGGGAAAAAGGGGGAATAATTGGGTTGTCCATAGTTTTAGTTCTCCATGGCCTCTTTAGGGGTGAGGAAAAGCAGTTTGTAAAAGCTTTTAGGTCTGTTGTGCTTAGTGATTGCCTTTCCAAGTGATTTCCTTGGAGTAAAAATCCACCTGCTCTGACCCAGAGCCATCCTGGCTGGGCTTGGAGGGAGCTGGGGACCTTCAGAGTGGGATTTGGCAGGAGCTGAAGGTGCCCAGAGCCCCACAGGATCTCCAGCTGGGAATGTTGGTGTGGAGCAGCCCTGGGGTGTTTTTCCATCACCTCTGGGAGCAGAGAGCCCTCAGAGGTGCCCCCAAAGCTGAGGCAGCCCCAGGAACAGCCTTGGAAAGGGAAGAGCTCCTGTTGAGGCTCCTTCAGCTCCTGGCCTTGGGCACTCAGAGGAATTTCTTGGCAGGATGCAGTGCTGGGTACCCAGGAGTGACCAGGAACATTCCAGAAGGGTTTTCCTCTCCTCCCACCCCTCTGCTCTGGGCTGGGCTTGTTTTTATAGGGGCCTCTCCCAGCTATTCCTGGTTTCCATCCTTCCCTCGTGCACACCCAGCCATTCCCTGGGGGAAGAACCTGCTCTGCATGTCCTATTTGTGTTTAATTATCACCCAGCACTTGATTAATTAGCTGAGGAAGCAGAGGGTGGTAAACCTGTGCTTGGCACCAGGCAGCCAGGTGGGCCATTCATTAGGGCAGGTTTGCTAATGACTTTAATTAATGTGACCCCTTGGGAGCTGCAGGAGCAGGGCAGGACCAAGGGCTTGTTTTTATATCATTTCTGTATTTCCATCTATTTATTGTAGCAGAAACTACTGGAGTAACTCAGCACTGGATCCCATCCTCTGGCTGGATTTTCCTTGGCATCCCCAACCTGATCCTTGTAGGAGTGTCCCTAAAACTGTGTCTGGTGCTGGCTGGGAGTGTCCCTGTGGCTGTTTTGTGTCTGTGTCACTGCTGGGGGACATCTGTGGGGGGAATGAGCCCCAAATGGGTCTCTGTGGGGCATTTCAGTTCCTGCACTGCTTGAAGCTGATCTTGTCTAGAGGAGAATTGTGTCTTTTCTGTTTGTCCCGTGGAGTCTCTCTTGGATTGCAGATATTTTTATTCCCTACAAAAATAAACACTTGGCCTTTTTAAAGGAAGTGGCTGCTCTGGTTATTGGGTGGTAACTCAGAACCTCACACTTGGAAAGGTGGAATCACTTAAAGGATGTTAATTAATGAAGTGAGTGTGGAGCTACTTCCCCTCTACAGAACAGAAATGGGGTGATCCCCCTGGTTTGGGGAGTGCAGGGTGTTCAAAACAACCCTAAAAGCAACATAACTAATGGAAAAAGGGAAAATAACCAATGGCACTGTACAAATGTTGGTGTCTTCTGCAAATTGTGCTATTCTGGGTCTTTTTTTTAATTTAAATTTTCCTTTCTATGTTAAACCCAAGTGTCTCCTCAGTGTTCCCCTGCTCCTGGAGAACTCTGTCCCTCACCCACCTGGCCACAGGAGTCTCCAGGCTGACTTCCCCAGCTTTGTGAGGAGCAGCCAGAGCTGCTGGAAGGAGCTGACTCCCAGTTCATGGGGCCAGTGAAGAGATGTTTTCTGATGTTTTCAGAGTGAGGAACCCACAGCTGCTGGAAAAATCCTCTTTTATCCCATTCTTTTTAGTCACAGGTAGTGAGGTGTTAGAGATTTGAGTGCAGACAAATTCAGCTGAGATGGGAAGATGCTCAAGAGGGAGATTCCAGGTACAAAACTTCCCTGGGAACCCTGGAACAGACTCCAGAGCCATCAGCCAGCCCCTGATGAATATTTTCCACCTTAAAAATGGGAATTTTCTATGTTTTAAGGGCCTGGCACTGGAGTACACTCAGTCCCTGGGTGTTTCTCAAGCTTTTTCACTTCTTGCTAATTTTAAATGTTCTTAATGCTGCCAGTGAAATCCTTCATTTACCTTAATTAGACTCGCTTTGCATTTAATTGGATTATTAGCATTAACACTGGTTAGAATTGCTAAAGCTGCAATTTAATTTGGGCAAAATTTGGACAAAAGGTGTGATAATTGGAGCTGCTTTGGGCTGCAAACAGCTCATGGATTCCTGTGTTCTCCTGGAATTTTATTTTCCTTTTCTGTGGAGAGTGTGAGAGGGGGATACAAAACCTCTCTCTCAACAACAGGTCTTGGAGCTCTGGGAGAGAGGGAAGGGATCCAGTGTGAATGGGAATCAATAAAAATGAATCAATAAAAATCTATAAATAATCAAAACCTCCCATGGATGGAGCAGGAGCCTCTGGGCTGGGCAGTTGTAGCTGCCCCTGGATCCCTGGCAGTGCCCAAGGCCAGGCTGGACAGGGTTTGGAGCAGCCTGGGACAGTGGGAGGTGTCCCTGCCATGGCAGGGCTGGAATGGGATGGATTTTAAGTTCCTCCCAACCCAAACCATCCTTTTATCCTGTTTTCCAAAAGGGAAGGTGGAGTGGAAGTAAAGAGATGAACCCCTGGGGCTGCCAGAATTCCTCAAGGAATGAGGAGAAGTATGCTTCTCATGGAGGAGCAGCAGCATGGCTGGATTCCCCCTTCCTTTCTAACTCTGTATTTTGTGTGTGGATGCACCAAATAAATCAG